ACAGGTTCGAGACCAGCCTGAGCCAGAGTGAGACCTGGCTTAAAAATAGCCAGACATTGTGGCAGGGGCCTGTAGTCCCAGCTAGTTGGGAGGCTGAAGCAAGAGAATCACTTCAAGCCCAAGAGTTTGAGGATTGCTGGAGTTTGGGAAATGTTTGAGGTTGTAGTGAGCTATGATGAAGCCACTGGACTCTGGTGACAGAGCAAGCTTATGTCTCCCCCACCCCTCAAAAATGTATAACATAAACTTCATAATTTTAACCATTTTAAAGTGTACAGTTCAGGCTCAATGCCCATATCTCAGTGGTTAGGGTGCCGACCAAATACACTGGGGGACTGGCGGGTTTGAACCTGGCCCAGGCCAGCTAAACAACAATGACAATTGCAACAAAAAATAGCTAGGCATTGTGGTGGGCACCTGTAGTCCCAGCTACTTGGGAGGCTGAGTCAAGAGAATAGCTTGAACCCAGGAGTTTGAGGTTGCTGTGAGCTGTGACGCCATGGCACTCGACTGAGGGCAATATAGTGAGACTCTGTCTCAAAAAAAAAAATAAAAAAGGCTTGGCGCCTGTGGCTCAAGTGGCTAAGGCACCAGCCACATACACCTAAGGTGGCGGGTTCGAATCCAGCCCGGGCCCGCCAAAACAACAATGATGGCTGCAACCAAAAAGTAGCCGGGCGTTGTGGCGGGCGCCTGTGGTCCCAGCTACTTGGGAGGCAGAGGCAGGAGACTTGCTCGAGCCCAGGAGTTGGAGGTTGCTGTGAGCTGTGATGCCACAGCACTCTACCCAGGGGGATAGCATGAGGCTCTGTTTCAAAAAGAAAAAAGAAAAATATATAAATAAAAAAAAAAAAGATAAAGTGTACAGTTCTGTGGTATTAAGTATAGTCACAGTGGGAAACAACCCCTCCACACTACCCAGTTCCAGAACTTCATCATCACAAACAGAAACTCTACGTGTTAAACACTGATTCCTCACTCCCTCATCCCTCTAGCCCCTAATCTATTTTCTGTTCCTCAGGACTGGCATGTTCTGGACATTTGATATAACTGGATTTGTACAGAATGTGCCTTGTCTTTTGCTGAACATGTTTTCGAGTTCTGCTGTGGGAAGCAAATTTCGGAGCTTTATTCCTTTTTCTGGCTGCTTAATATTCTGCTGCATGGGACGTGCCACATCTTGTCTGTCCGTTCCTCAACTGATGGACACTTGAGTTGCTTCCACCTTGTGGCTGTTGAAAATAGTCTTGCTGTGAACCTTTATTTACAAGTACTTGTTTGGATAACTATTTTCAACTTGGGGACATATACCTGAGAGGGGAATTCTGAATCCTGTGGAAATTGTGTTCGGTTAAGGAAGTGCCGAATTGTTTTCCATGCAACTGCACCATATGACGTCTGCACCAGCAGCATTGTGGGTCCCCACTGCTCCTCATCCTCATGGGCACATGTCATTTTCCATTTTTTGTCTTTTTTTATGGCCATCACTGTGGTTTTGATTTGCATTTTCCTAATGATCAGTCATGTTGAGACTCTTTTATCTCCTTGTTGACCATTTGTACATCTGCTTTGGGGAAAATGTCTCTTTAAGTTCTCTGCCCAGGCTCAGCGCCCCTAGCACAGTGGTCATGGCGACAGCCACATACACTGAGGCTGGTGGTTTAGATCCCAGCCCAGGCCAGCTAAACAACAATGACAACTGCAACAACATCTGCTGTGACACCACGGCACTCTGCCAAGGGTGACAGAGACTCTGTCTCAAAGAAAAAAAAAAAAGAAGTTCTCTGCCCATTTTTATTTATTTTTTATTTAATTTTTTATGGTTGGGGAGTCATTGAGGGTACAAGAAACCGGGTTACATTGATTGCATTTGTTAGGTAAAGTCCCTCTTACAAACATGTCTTGCCCCTAAAAGGTGTGGCACACACCAAGACCCCACCCTCCTCCCTCCTTCTTTCTCTCTCTGCCCTCCCCTTCCCCCACCCCCACCGTGACATTAAGTGTCATTAATTGTCCTCATATCAAAATTGAGTACATAGGATTCATGCTTCTCCATTCTTGTGATGCTTTACTAAGAATAATGTGTTCCACTTCCATCTAGGTTAATACAAAGGCTGTAAAGTCTCCATTTTTTTTTAATGGCTGAAGAATATTCCATGGTGTACATATACCACAGCTTGTTAATCCATTCCTGGCTCTGCTCATTTTTAAATTGAGTTGTCTTTTTGTTGAGGCGTAAGTTTTTGCATGTTTTTGTTTTTTAGATTTTTTTTTGTTTGTTTGTTTTTTGGGGAGATTTTTTTTGGCTGGGCCAGGTTTGAACCCACCACCTCAGGTATATGGGGCTGGTGTCCTGCTCCTTGAGCCACAGGCGCCTCCCCATGTTTTTGTTTATATGAATGGAGCCCCTCTGCCTTTTCACTCAATAGTGTTGTTGAGGTCCAGTCATGCTAAAGGGGCGACCCGATCTCGCTCCAAGTCCTACACAGGGGTGCACACCCATCACTTTCACAGTATCCTGTGCACGCCCATCCTGAGCCGGTTTTCAGGGTGTCTGCTCACAGTGGGGCTGGGGAACTAGGATATCTTCACCATCTGCATTTCCCTGGAGCCAGCACACGCAGGGGAATGGCTGCAGTGAGCAAAGCCCCTCTTCCCCACGCTGTTGACAACTGTTGAAATTATCTGTCTCCTGATTTCTGCCCAGTTTTATAAACTGGTGTCTAATGCGTCTTAATTTGCATTTGTAATCCCTGGTGTTAACTGAGCATCTCATTATTTTGTTTGCCTTTCAGTCTGTTGCCAATTGAAATGCTTTTCTCACTTATCTGTAGAATTTCCTTTTTGTTGACTTGCAATTTTAAACTCCCTTGTGTTAGACTTCTTGTTTTTTGAGACAGAGCCTCAAGCTGTCACCCTGGGTAGAGTGCTGTGCTGCCACAGCTCACAGCAACCTCCAACTTCTGGGCTTAAGTGATTCTCTTGCCTCAGCCTCCCAAGTAGCTGGGACTTTAGGCACTGCCACAACACCTAACTATATTTTTAGTTGCAGTTGTCGTTGTTGTTTGGCAGGCCCGGAATGGATTCGAACCTGCCAGCTCTGGTGTATGTGGCTGGCGCCTTAACCATTTGAACTACAGGTGCTGAGCTTTTTTTTTTTTTAATACAGAATCTCACTTTGTCACCCTGGGTAGAGTGCGCTGGTGTCACAACTCACAGCAACCTCAAAGCTCTTGGGCTCAAGTGATTTTCTTGCCTCAGCCTCCCAAGTAACTGGGACTACAGGCGTCGCCACAACGCCCGATTTTTTAGACAGGGTCTCCCTTTTGCTCAGGCTGGTCTTGAACCTGTAAGCTCAGGCAACCCACCTCAGCCTCCCAAAGTGCTGAGATTAGAGGCATGAGCCACCGCATCTGGCCCCCTTGTTTTAGACTTTAAGGATACTTCTTTCCAGGTACCTGTTAACTTTTTTTTTTTGTAGTAGTAGTAGTAAGCAAAAACTATTCATATCTTTCTTTAAGGTTTAGTTTTACAAGTCCTGCTGAGGCCAGGCAAGGTGGCTCACACCTGTAATCCCAGCACTCTAGGAGGGTGGGTTACTTGAGCTCTACTAAAAGCACCTAGAAAAACTAGGCAGTTGTGACAGGTGCCTATAGCACCGGCTACTCAGGAGGCTGAGGCAGGAGGATGGCTTGAGCCCAAGAGTTTTAGGTTGTGAGGTATGACAACAGGGAACTCTACTCAGAGTGGGGTAAGAGTGAGATTCTGTCTCAAAAGAAAAAAAAAGTCACGGTGGCACCCTCTTTTTTTTCCCCTGAAGCTCCACCTCCTGTCTCTATGCTTAGCATTTTGAAGCTTGCAACTCAGAGCTACAGGGTTGATGCTGCTGACAAAGGCAGCACTTGCTACATTAGATGAAGGTTTCAAAGGGCTGGGAGGAAGGTGTCCTGGCACCCAGTCTCCCTAAGACTATAAAGCCTCTTTTGGTTGAGGTAAATGCTACCTAGCAGGCCTGCCCCAGTAACCTTCATCTGCTTGTTGTCCCCAAAACACCACAGAAAAGGCCAGTGTGATCTATATACTGCAGAAACCTTGCCCCAGCACGGAACGGAGAAGGGGCTAACATGTGACACTGCTGAGGGACTTATCCCCTGGCCCCAGTGCCAGGGGCCAAGTCACCTTTCTTCTCCCAGTGCTCCTGTGCCAGCCCCTGGATCCAAATTTTTCTAGTCCTGACTGAAATGGAAAGCTGTGTGGCAAACATTTCTGCGTTGTTCACAGGCTATCCCAGGGTCGCTGCCTGACAGAGGTGGTTTTCCTGCTCAGACTGTCCATACTAGCCTGACCAGCCTCCCTTGCTTGAGTGAGCAGCTTCTAACCCTGCAACCCACCTTAATATAAAACCTTCCCTAAATCCCTCCAAATCTTAATAATCTTGACCCAAACCCCACAGAATCAAGTTTGAAACGTGGAAAGTGGCAGGACAGGATCTACTCAGCCACTCTTGCTTCCCTGACCCAGGCACCAAGTTGTCTTAAAGGGCACTATAAACCAGACCAGGCTGATGCCAGGTGGCACACCCAGACTCTACAGAGCTCCTACTAATCAATCCATTCACTGACTGCCATATTCTTTATCACCTGGTCTAAAAGCAACCTCCATTTCCACATGCAGCTCCCCATGGCTTTTTGGCAGCTAGCCTTCAGAAAATTGTCCCATTGCTTCTGAACATGTCTTTCTGGTCTGCAGCCCTGGTAGGTAACAGGCGGCTTTGTCAGCTAGCATACCACTCATGAGCCCTTGGCAAATTCACAAACTGCCAGCTTCTCCTGGCTCATCAGGTTGGTTTGGAGAAAACCAACTATTTGTCTGGTATTTTAAGACAGTTGTTCCACAATCCCTGAAACAAAGCTGAGCAGCACCAACCACAGAACACTTGCCTCTTCCAGGCCTTTCTATCCCACCCACACTGCCACGCCCCCAAAATAGGCGCCAGCCAGTTTACTGCAGCACTTTATTTTCTTACACAATGACCGTGTTGCTGGGGCCTAATGTTTTCACATTAACAGTAGAAAACCAAAATTTGTCATCTCTTAAAGAATTGAGAATTGCGTACAAAAACCTTACATAAATTAAAAGAATGAATAAATTTACAGGTGTAAATGCAAACTGCTTCCAACTCAAGCCAAGTAATCACCCATGGTATTCCAACAGGAAAACATCAGGTAAGAAAGGAAACTGGGTCCTAAAGGCTTGGACTTTTCCAACCCTGCTAGACTGGCAAGACAGAAGTGACAAGTAGTCAAGAATCTTGCCAGCCCCTGGAGATCCTGGAATGGTCAGCTCTGCATTAATACCCTGCACAGATCAAGAGGCTCATGGCCACACATATTCACCAAGCCACAGATTTCTCTTCCAAAAGAACGTTCTCTCACCTCAGCCAGAGGTGACTGAGCCACAGGTCTCAGGGGTTTAAATCAAAGACACGTACAGGGCATTAAACATATCAAGGAAACAGTAAACTTGAATACAAGGTCAAAATCAGCAACAAGTTCTACAATCCAGTGCTGATACCAGATACAAGCTTCAAGGACAATTTCTTTTCAAAGGCGTATTCCAGTTTCGTGAGGCCAGCGTGAGGTGTGCATTCACTGGAGCAGATCTGTACTTCTGAACCAACTTGTGCAGCAGGCGCTATACGTCTGCTTGCAGTCCGTTTAGAAGCATTTGCGGTGGACGATGGAGGGCCCAGACTCGTCGTATTCCTGCTTACTGATCCACATCTGCTGGAAGGTGGACAGAGAGGCCAGGATAGAGCCACCGATCCACACAGAGTACTTGCGCTCAGGGGGCGCGATGATCTGCAAAGACAAATCACACCTCCTTCAGTTCACACTGCCTGTCTGGCTGGGACTCCCTCCACCAGACAGAAGTCTGCCCAAGCAACTCACCTTGATCTTCATGGTGCTGGGTGCCAGGGCGGTGATCTCCTTCTGCATCCTGTCAGCGATGCCGGGGTACATGGTGGTGCCACCAGACAACACTGTGTTGGCGTACAGGTCCTTGCGGATGTCTACGTCACACTTCATGATGGAGTTGAAGGTCGTCTCATGGATGCCGCAGGATTCCATACCTAGGGAACAAAGCCCTCCCTTAGCGGTCTCGAGTCACTCTGGTCTTCCCTTTACTGGCATGGTCTCTCTAGACACCTACCCAGGAAGGAGGGCTGAAAGAGCGCCTCTGGACACCGGAACCGCTCGTTGCCAATAGTGATCACCTGACCGTCGGGAAGCTCATAACTCTTCTCCAAGGAGGAAGACGACGCAGCAGTGGCCATCTCCTGCTCGAAGTCCAAAGCGACATAGCACAGCTTCTCCTTGATGTCCCGCACGATCTCGCGCTCGGCTGTGGTGGTGAAGCTGTAACCACGCTCCGTGAGGATCTTCATGAGGTAGTCAGTCAGGTCCCGGCCAGCCAGGTCCAGACGCAGGATGGCATGGGGGAGGGCGTACCCCTCGTAGATGGGCACCGTGTGGGTGACCCCGTCTCCAGAGTCCATGACGATGCCGGTGGTTCGCCCAGAGGCGTAGAGCGACAGTACAGCCTGGATGGCCACATACATGGCCGGGGTGTTGAAGGTCTCAAACATGATCTGGGAAGAAGGGAGGCTCAGTCAGAGGCAGAAGCCCACAGCCACCCCACGCCCACACTCACAACATGCTGGCATGCCACAACGTGATGTGTGGAGAAAAGAAAAGAACGCAGGCAGAAACCAAATGAGAAACCTGGAAGCTTCAGGAAGGAAATGCCAGGAGAAGAACAGAACCCTGGAAACAGTGAAAGAAACACTTGAAATTTCAGAAAATAAAGCGGAATAGAAAATGACTTGTGAAATGCCAGGGTGTGTCACAGACCAGCTCAGCCTCACCTGGGTCATCTTTTCTCTGTTGGCCTTAGGGTTCAGTGGGGCCTCCGTCAGCAGCACTGGGTGCTCCTCAGGGGCCACACGCAGTTCGTTATAGAAAGTGTGGTGCCAAATTTTCTCCATGTCGTCCCAGTTGGTGACAATACCGTGCTCAATGGGGTACTTAAGGGTCAGGATGCCACGCTTGCTCTGGGCCTCGTCGCCCACATATGAGTCCTTCTGGCCCATGCCCACCATCACGCCCTGTGAAAAAAGGCCACCAGGGTCAACGTCCACTCAAGGACCGGACCGCGTTGGGACCCAAGGACCCAGGGGCACGGAGATGTCCTCTACTCACCTGGTGTCGGGGGCGCCCGACGATGGAGGGGAACACGGCTCGGGGGGCGTCATCCCCTGCAAAGCCAGCTTTGCACATGCCGGAACCATTATCAATAACCAGCGCAGCGATTTCCTCTTCCATTGTGATCTATAAGAAAAATCACTCAGATGAACTCCGACGCTCGCCCCTCAATAGGGAATACCCTTTACCCGGCCTCGAGAGGCCACCACCCCTTATACGGGTAACCGCTCAGAACGACCACTGAACCTTTCACGTAACGCCCCCCACCCCGTGCCACGGCGCCGGGCACTCCCCACCCCGGGCGCCCGGCGCCAGGCCCAGGCCCAGGCCCAACCCGCCGGGCCCGTCCTTTGTTCCCAGGCGCATCGAAACCGGGCCTCTCAGGGCAAGAAGCAGGCCTCCGGGATCCGGGAGCGGCGGGCCGTGGCGTTTCGCTCGTGTCGGAACCGAGAGTTGGGTGAAGAATGCCGCGGGTAACTTACCGGCGGACCAGCAAAACGGCAGGAGAACACGGAGCAAGAGCCGGCGGCAGCGAG